CCCCAAAACCCCAAAACCCCAAAACCCCAAAACCCCGCATTTCATATATTATATTGAAAAATTACTAAAATTACAGATAATAGGATGAAGGTATCAGTAAAGGAGCCCTTTACAGCAATCATCCATTCTATTCTGGTCAGTATAGTAATTGAAATGAAGATGAATGACCAGCTAGACACTATCTAGGGTCAATAGAAGGAAAAATCGCCTAGTTCCTCACTTTCGTGATTTGGAAAATAGGCTTGATAAGTTTCCTTTCAGCATAATCAATGATTAGTTTGCCTTTGTACTTGTGTAAATCTTCGAACCTGATGAATCTCCCTTGATATCTGAATCTTTTGGAAGCTAGGTTCTGTCTACACTCGTATCTAACAGCTTTCTCTCCTTTTCTTCTCTTCTTTTTATCTAGATAGCGCTGGACTTTGACCATTCTCTCAGAAGCTGTTAGTAGGCCAACCTTTTTATGAGAATTTTCAGTTTGATTCATACATTTATCAGGAGAGATCTTTTGAATGTTTGGTTGTATATTAGTCTCAGAATCATAAAAACTATCATCAGAATGACCAATATGAGGAAGGTTGACAGCTTGGTTTCCCTTCTCGTTAGTAGAGTTACACTCACTTTTCACATCGGTCATTGCAAATGAGGTTTGCTTTCTCACCATTTTCCTCTTTGATTCTCTAGACTCCAGGTATTTTTCAGTGATCTCCAACTGAGATAAATCTTGAAAAGCCCTCTTAGTACCTTTTCACCCACTATTAGAATGTAAATTGGAAGTCGCATGCAAAGAATTTGTCAGACTTTCCAAGGTGCTAACAACTTCTGAGTTTTGGGTGTTCCTCAACAGTGTTGACAATATATTGAGTGATACAAATTTTTCCGCGGGGTTTACGTTAAGTAAAGCAGCAATCAAATTAGCTTCTAACTCAGCTGTACTATCTTGGACATTTTCTTGGCCTATGCAAAGCTCCATGTCTCCCCTGATTGGGATAGGATTATAAATCTTTTTTGGTGCCTGGTGGCTTTTATATGCAAAAATTTTATCTTTCTCAGTTTCCATTAAGTCTTGGGTTTCAAATTTCTTCTTTACTTTTCCTCTTAGTGAATTACTCATTATAATATTATAATAATGCCCGAAATTAATAATAAAAATGGGGTTTTGGGGTTTTGGGGTTTTGGGGTTTTGGGG